AAAAGAACAATGAAGGACAAAACTAAATTTCATTCGTAAGAAGCAATTCATCTATCCACAAACCCCTCGCTTAACTTCCACATACACAACAAATTTAACATGAGAGGTGGACAAACATCTAAAAGTACCTGGCTTGAGGAAACGTGAGGAACAAAGCCGGTAGATTTACTAGGATTAGGAGGCAAGACCCCAGGATTGAACCTTTGAGAAGGAATACTGAGTTGCTCATAGAGGGCCATCTTATTCCTAGGTGGTGCTCTTGGCCCTCCTTTTTCTGTATCATTAACATGAAGCCTAGGGAACATCGGCCCCATAATCTTCTCATCATCTTTCCCTCTCTTCATCTTCTTATTTCTCTCATAAATTCAAGAGATTACCCGAGAATCCCAAACACATCCAAAAACCAGAACCGACCAGTGGAAACCCAGGAATAAGAAACAAGAGATGAAAAGCCTCCAAAACAAAATTAGCTTGCAGAAGCTCAAAATCACCAACACCCAGATGCCAAAATAGATTGTCCTATGTGAAAAATTTGACAAATTTCAGGAAAATACAGGACCAAAGAAGTCAGAGGAGAACAGATTCGACAGAGAGAAAGAGGAGGTGAGCTAATTTAGGGAATTGGAAGGAGGTCAAAGAAGAAGAGAAGAGAGATGAATAGGGGTCGGTTTAGGAAGATCGGAAAAAGTGCAAGGCTTGTGGGCCCACTTTAGATCGAAGTGGAACCTCTTTTTGGATTTTAATAACCTTAATTGTAATTTTCTGCCATTTAATTAGTATTTTTTTATGGAACTAAAGCTCCCCTTTTCATCCATTTTACCATTAGTATAATTCTTCTTTTTCTGTTTTATAGAATAAGAACCACCAGCTTAACGTTTGAAAAAGAAAAGAAAAGAAAAGAAAAGAAAAAAAAAAACAGAGTCCTTTTTGGAAAGTCTGATAACCTTTGTAAGGATTATACACATACAACAGTGTTTCATAAAATTATAAATTTATAGGAAAATAAATATATATAATAAAAAAAAATTAAACAAAAAATAAATTATATAATTTAATACATTAAGATTGTAATTATATTATTTTTACAGTACTTTTACTCATATACCTAAAAAGTCTATTGT